CTTATGCGAATGGGCCTGTTTCTAGGGTACACTTTCGGCAGCTGATTCGGGTCAGTTGGCAATCTTGGACGAAACCATGACGTCCTCGTCCTAAGTCGCCAATACATCGTTTCAGTGACATTCGTTTTTCAAGCGACCTGCTTAAACTCTAGATCTCATTTCACTTAATAATCTCCGGGGATGGTTGACCTGGGCTGTTGCTGTCAGTCGTCCTGGGATCATTTCTTTTGTTTACTACACACCTGGAAATCGCCAAGGATAAACCTAGTTTGTGGACAAGCGAGCACCATGTTCGCGATGCAAACGTGAATTCAACGACAGCAATAAAATCGCTATTCAGTTGCGTTTTTTGGCAGTGTGCGCATGGGTGGTGAATAAGAATAATGCCTGAACCGAAAAAGTGGAAACAAGCCATAAGGAACACATCTGTCCCCTACGACCTCATTATTTTGCCTGATAGTGAAACGAAAAATTGTCAGAGAACGTGACCACAAGTCGAAATCAGGCTCTAGTCACGTGACAGACATTGGCCCGAGAACCACTCTGTGGCTGATTGGTGCTGGATTTTTTAGCAACATATTCGCTTGACGCCGTAAACACTAATCGGTTATTTTTCGCTGATGTAAAAGATTAAATTGGGCATGTTCGCTACAGACTTCACGTCCCACTTTATTTTTAAGGAGATTATCGTGCTAATCGCGAGATACATACAATAAATGTGATTTCCTCAATTACAGATTCAATGTGCCCCTGATGTACAGAGACCCATGGTCTTTAGATCACAACTAAACGGATATCTGCAAGCAAAAATGAATGCATCGCAAGGCGTTTCGATGATGTTTTCCAAGTCTGACTATCACAACTTTTTTCATGTTCTTTGAACGGAAAACTCCAAGGACAGTGTGGCCATTGAGATACTCAACAAAGCGAGAAAAATTGTAGCATGGGGTGGGATTCAGACACCCGACCACTGTGGTTAATGCGGCGTGACATCTGGAAAAGACTGATTGTTCGTATCTCACACGAACTTCTGGTTGGGGTATTGTTTTCTCTACCTTGTCACCTCCGTCAAAGGAACTCCTGTCTACCAGTGATTTATTCCCCCCCCCCACACACACACACCTTATGAGTTCTTCAGCAACCCTCACTGTAGCTCTTTTCTTTGCGTGGCGCAGAGAATTCAATTTGCGCAATCCCGTCTACTCCGCCCCAGAGTACGCTTCGACGGAGAAGATTTCAAGCACCAATATTAGCCACTGACGTTTATGGACACTGCAATTCATTTCACCAAATACGAAAGTATCCTTCTGTGTTACGAAACAGTACAGACGCCATTTGGTTTGAGTGTTGTGCATCGACGTCCGATTAGCTCAAGCTCAATAGATACAATCAAGATGATGCTCAGTAGTATCACCAAAATGTCAGTCCCGATCTAGAAGCCCTGAAATCAATGTTTTCCCGGTTTAGCAATGGCGTTCCGAATGCTCACTGTCTAAGCTCTTTGCTTGCTGTTTGGTTTTCACATTGGCAACACCAAAGCGAATGAGCTATTCTAATTCACCCAGTGTGCATTTGGTAACAATCCATGTGTTCTGTAGAAGTATATGCCTTGAATGGTTTAGTTCATTCAGTGATTTGGTTTCTACGTGAAATCGTAATCCCAGTCCGTCTTTGTAGATTCTAGACCGTTCAACTCAACTGAAAATGGTACGGGTATAGATCGGTCGAATTTGGGTGAAATGGGCGAATACTTAATACTTAATGATGAAATATCGATTTCACAGTCAATATGAATCACAATCGGTTTTCAGGTCAGATTACAGAGATCGATTTTCACGAATAGCATTTTACATATGCCTCACTTTAGTTACGCCTTTGTTAAAATTGGACCTTTCTCTACCGAGGAGAGAGTCAGACTCTGGAAAGGTGGAAACGATCAACTCTTGGCCGGGGGGTGGAAGGAAGTGGTGTGAGCACAACACAAAATCCGGGTCAACGTGACGGTAATGTGCTAGCTAGTAGCACCTGGTGACCACCGTCCAAATGGGGTACGTAGCAAAATGAAACCAAAATCACATAATGCCCGAGAGCGCTGACCGTGCTTGACAAACAATCAAGATGAGAAAAAATCACGTCGAACAATATCGCAGTGAGTGTTCGAACAGGGCATTTGCTACACTTTAGTTATAGAGCAGGTGCGACAAAACGGACCTGGGGGTGGGGTGGTTTCTGATGCCAAGTATCTAACATTCAGTCAAGCATGGAAAATGTCCGTGAGCGGTGAACGATACAAGGACTGGAATAGACAACGGGTTAAGATCCGTAACAGCCTAGCTTCAGATCACAATCAGAGGTAAATTTACGAGGTTGCCCAATTCGATGTTTCAATGTGGAGATGAAACTAGATAATTCATTTTTTTCCCAGAGGTTGCGGGCTAAACATCAAAAGAATTGGAAACACATTGGTGCAATAGATATTGTAGGTTTTAAATGCAAATAGACCACATTGTGAGTGGATAATTAATAATGAGACCAGAGTTGCGCATCGGAACAACTATGTACAAGAAAGTTTTAAAAGTGGACGAAGGAGAGCGAAAGCTGTTTGTGTGTGTGTGTGTGCACGAATAGCAAAAATATAAATGAAGGAAAGAAGTAGCAAAAGCAGAGTTAAAATATTTGACGTGATAAATCAGACAGGTTCAAACGTATAAGAGCAACACACACACACACACACACAAAGACTAACACCAGTATTCGCAGCAGCAGTCGCAGAGACAAACAGCAACGAAGGAGACAACGGGAACCGCAACAGCTGTTGCCGCCACAGAAGCCAAAACAAACAAACAAACAATGGCCAATAGAATAGGTCGGCCTCGATAAAATTAAGAAAACTGAGTGTGTATGTGTGCGCGCGTGCGGACACTCGCGCGTCTGTAAAATGCTTCAACCGGAAGACGATTGATCTTCGACCACGGTGAGTTCGTGTGATTCGAACTTGTCAAGCTGGGCATTGAACTCATCCAGCCATGAACTGTAGGCTTCCTGTTAAAACAAACGGAGCAGGGAACATAGACGGAAGGAGGGAGAGGATGAACAGTGCACTAACTGAGGTCACATATTTGGACACCAAAAGCGTAAATTGTTATATGGCAATTCCTGAGTTTCCAGAAAATTAAAACAGGTTACACCGAAGTTAATGGGAGGTTTCAATATTCTGATTACGCGATGTTCGAACCTATTTCAAATAGGTCCGACGGCGAAACAGGTACACTAACAGATGCAGTTGTATTTTCGAAAGCAGTGTCGCTGCCGTGAAAATTAGCATAGCTTCACGCGCCTTGCTAAAATCCGCCTTCAATGATCTTAAAGAAAGGTGCTTTCTTCACGTCACCAAACAGGTGATAACACAATTAAAATAAACCACGGACGTTCATGCCATCTATCCTCGGACGCCTTGAGCGCTCCTCGTTTTTGTGAACACCTACGCATAGCTCCACAAAGATTCTGAGTATTGTCTCAACACTATGCTGGGCTTGTATATATAGATTTTAACTTAGACTTTGTAGAAATTGGTGTGCACGTAGAGCTACAGCGCCAAACACATTCAATCAACAATGATAATTTGAGTAATCATTCACTTTCGTACACCAATCCACTTCATGCCAGAAGTACACATTAACTCATCCGCTCCATCCAAAGTAAACATTTTTTACCATCAAATATCGAGTTGTGCAAATGGATGTTTGGCAGATTTTAAGTTTCTATGGCGATTGTGAAAAGTTCAGTAGCCTCGGTGGGATTCGAACCCACGCATGGACGCCGCCTACGCTTTGCTTTTTTTATTACACACCTAGGTGTGATGGACAGCAGACGGAGTAAACCCCATAGTCATGAGGACCTGCTGTTCAGTGGTTGAAATCGGCAACCTAAGCTCCGGAACTTGGAGTGGCGAACCACATAAGGCCCCGATAGGTTAGGCGTGGTATTGAACCGGACGACAGTAGAGCTGCCTACCACCAAAGTCAGGTGGCGGTGGCGGGGCTCGAACCTCGGACCATAGGGTCCAAAGCACACTGGTGACAGCGACTAAACCACTGCGCCACCACCACGCGCATGTTCTACCGGCTTAGCTACGAGGCCATACCGATAGCTAAGAACTTATCACATTCGAATTACCAATCCAACTTACAGAAGCCTCGTAGCTCAGCTCTCAGAGCATGCGCGTACAAAGCGTAGGCGGCTTCCATGCGTGGGTTTGAATCCTACCGAGGCTACTGAACTTTTCACAATCGTCATAGAAATATCGAGTTATTTAAGTCAGCATTTGATCTGACGTCGGTTAGTCACTCCATCCGCGTTTAGTCATACGGGATACAATTCTCACATTTGTATACCGTAAATACATTGCTGTTTGTAGCAGCTGCTGTACACGGGCAACCCATGCAAAAGTTTGAAACACTTATTCGACTGGGTCCAGTACAAGTACAATTTGTCCCTTGACCTTTTCTTCGTACACCATGACGTTTACCTTTAAAAGTTTGCAGATAATTTTTCTTGGTAAGTCAAATTCAGGGCAACCATGGTTAGTTTCAGTTTATACACCGAATAACCTATCACATTCGCGTTGCGGTTGTTGTGTTTCGGCTGCCCATTTAGGATTAGAGAGCTAAGTGCACTATTCAGGTTAAATTTATACAACCATTAACCATGCACTTTCGTGCCCCGGCTTTGGTTGCTGTCTTTTGGCCGCCGATTTAAATGAAGACAGGAAAGTTGAAAGTGGAATCTAAGGGAAAATGGAAAAGTTTAGTGGACTGAGGTCGCAAAGAAATTGAGAAGATGCGCAAACGCCATTGTTAACGATACTCGGTCATACATTGGAATGTTGAGAGCAAATTCAGGCGAAAGATAACGAATTTATATGGAGTGAAATTACAACAATAATGAGTAGATGCATAGGCACCACTGTTTGCGACATCCGATCATATAGTTCAATGTCTCTAACCACCGGTGATCATGATCTCAGGATCCTCAGCCAGGGAGCCTAACGGTACCGATGTGAAAAAGTCCC